TAAATACTTAGAATCCGTATCACCCTCAAACTTAAAAAAAAAAATTAAAAAAAAAAAATCATGTATTTATAATCTAAGTATAACATCTATAATTTATAGAAAAATAAGTTTTTTTGGTTGAAAAATCAATTTAAATCGTACTTTTGCAGCACCTTGCATAACATTTTTTTTGAGAGCTTATATTTTTTATTAAAAAATTAATAATGTTAAAAATATTTGATTATACAAAAAAAAAAAGTGAAAAATCAATATTCATGAATGTAACAATCGAACTAAATACTCGGTTTTATAAATCACTAAATTGATTTATATTAATAAAGTTAAAAATATGTGATTACACAAAAAAGTAAAAAATCAATATTTATAAATGTAACAATCGAACTAAATATTTAGTTTTATAAATCACTAAATTGATTTACAATTAAGAAACCGAAAGTGTAAATCATTATAAATATTTTTAAAAGTTTATCTAGAAATGCAAAATATAACTATTGTTAGTACATTTTTAATATAAAATAATATTAGTTTAAACTAAAATAGCAATGAAATAAATTTTAGTTACTAATATATTGTATATAATTTTTGCATTTTTCTATACATATTTTATAGATTTTATATATATTATAGATTATATATATATATATATATATTCTTTTAAAAAAAATGAGGGGGGCCCACGGGCCCCTCTTGGGCCTTCTTTGGCTCCGTCTATGCCCATGTACAACATGAGTGTTGAGTTAATAAATATATGTGTATTCCTTCATTGTACCAAAAAAAAATAAATAAATATATGTGTAATGTTATTTATGTCTAATACCAACCTAACTCCAAAGCAAAATTAATATAAAAACAACATCACGAAGCATAAATTTTTGCTATGTCAGCATTTGAAGCCACTACAAGAAATCTGTCAAAATGTGACAAATTTCGTGTGACGAAAAAAAAAAGTGTCACCGTATGTAGCCTTGTGGTGACGAATTTAAAAAATCGTCATTACATCATTGCATACAACGACGATTGCTGCACTCGTCATCTTAGATTTTATTTTCGTCACATAATCATACTTTTCATGACACCACATCTCAGTTCGTCACCTAAACATCTAAATTTGTCATATTTATATAAAGATGTTGTCTGTGACGGATGACTTTTCGTCACGATTTGTTAGACAACAATGACAAGCATATTTTTGTCACTGTTAAATAGCGTTTTATGACGTTCTTTACTTTCGTCATTAAATCACATGTTTAGTGACAAATTTTATTATGACGGATAATATTTACTCATAATTTGTAAGCTAATATGACAAAATATATTCCTTGTCGCAATTTATAATGATTCTTTATATGACAAATTATATTTTGTCACAATTTTGTTGGTAACAATGACAAATTTAAACTTCGCCACCAAAGATTATTATTTTTTTATATTATTTATTTTTGTCACTTAATTCAAAAAAAATTATGACGCTTTTTCTTATAATGAATAATATTTCGTCATAAATTTTGTTAAGAAAAAATGATAAATTTTATTTTGTCACAAAAACTACTCTATAATGACATTATTTATTTTTGTCACTTAATTCAAATAATTTATGACGCTTTTTTCTTACGATGAATGATATTTCATCATAAAATTTGTTATAAAAAAATGATAAATTTTATTTTTGTCAAAAAAAAAACTCTATTCCTGACACAATTTACTTTCGTCTAACTATAATAAATATGTATAAGTTATAATAATTTAGCTTAAGTAATTGAATGATTAACATAATATTTCATTAACAAATTTTTGTATACATTTATTATATAAAATAATATGTCATATGCCTTATTAACCATATGAATATGAATAACATAAAATAACATTGCTAAACTGCCATTAAGAATCCAAAATAGAGCAATCATTAAGTCTATAAAAATTTATGCCTAAGCGATAATAAAAAAAAATAAAAATTCATGCCTATCTCTTTATGTACCTCTTTTTCCTTTTTCCCATTTATTAAGTCTCTTTTTTCCCCTAATATCGGTTCTCTCTTTTAACTTGACAGACCCAAAAACTTACTCCCAATTTCAGCTCCCAATCTCAACCTAAAAATTGAAACTGAATCAATCGTGCACCACGCTCGCGAGGGGATCGGTTTAATGTCGATCTCATCTCCCAATCTCAACCTAAAATCTGAATCAATTTCACGAGGGAAAAGGAATTCAAGCTGGAGATCGACTAGTCGGTGGAGAGTGATGATGTGGGTGTTGTGAGCGGACGGCCGAATCTGTAGCGTGGCGGAGCTGGTGTTATGGCCGAGGGACAGCCACTTCTCGATGGAGGCCCAATAGTCGGTCAAGGTGGTGCAGAGGCTCGCCAGAGACCTCATAACGTCCATGGTGATCGGGCACCACAGGTAACAGTTGTATACAATAGAAATTGAAAAATTAAAATGAAAATTATAATTTTTATCTAGCAAAACAATTGGCGGGATTAAATTTCTTAGGCGGTCAAAATTCGAGCGTAATTAGGAAAAATTTTATCTAATTAGGGTAGAGAAACAAATAGTTCAATGATTTTGTACCTCCGTCAATCTCTCCCTTTTTTATCTGCCCAAGTATATATATGCACAATTAGGTTTTACTTAGCACTACATCAAAAATATTAGTCGCAAAACACACGCATCCCTGCAATCTTTTCTTGGTGAAATTTCTTGATGGATCATGTATAAAATTTGTGTTTTTACAGATTTTATATTGGCTCACCTTTATTCAGATTCTATCTTTGTATAAGCATAATAGTTGTAGCTGAAGGTGTAATATTTGTGTTTCAAATTATAGTTCATTTTTTTTTTTTTTT